CTGCCTTCGTAAATCAACACCCAGTTCTCGTTCAACACCAAAGTCCACTGTAAAAAACGAAAGAAGGCCCCGTGTGATAGGGAATATAGTGAGGCACATCTATAGGGTGGATTTATCATATTTGCTGGTTGTTTTCCTGATGAAAATAAAACCTTCACTTTCAACAGTCTTTTCAAGGACGAGCACACAACTTATCCTCCTCTCAGCTCCCATAACCACCAACACTACAGGTAAGACACAATTAAAAAAAACTATGCCCTGAGAGATTTCTCATCAGAAGGATGGTACCCTGCAGAACATGATCTTACAAAATCCTGTCGGATCCTAATGGGAATGAGTTATTGATAAAATTCATGCATNGTGTTTGGCATGCAACATTGACTGTGATGGATCACGTTGGCATTTGTAGTTTCCCGGCAGAATTTGCTTTAGTTCTGATCCCTAAGTACAATGGCGTTAAGGCATGCTAGGAGCGCCTTTTGTGGCCTCATGTACACTCCTTTTATGAACTAATATCATACGAAAAAACACAAAATATCGCTGCCTCCTCTAAATAATTACATTGATCTTATTTGAGTTGAATCAAAACTGGAAAATACTATTGAAAGTACCTGCGTTTTGACCTATGCCTGTGGCTTCACATACCGCAAGACAGAGAGGGGGAGGTAGAGTACAAGCCATCCAAGATACACACTGGATGTTACCTACTCTAATAGTGCAGTTCCACGACTGCATGAAACATATTTGTTCCTGCATCACAGAACGCAGTTTGTGAAAGTATCAGTAGTCCAGTCAAGTCAAGTCAGAAATGGATTCATTGCACCATTTGGTGCAAATTCAGCTGCCAAATGCGTAAAATATATAGGGACTTATAAATAAATCAGGTTTACAAACTTACCTCAAGACTATGGACAAATCAGGGTAAAGATGCTCAATGTGAACTATGGAAGGGTTGTACGTTTTTTGTGTGCTTGAACGTGTTTGTACTTTAAGCGAGTGGAGGAAATTGAAATACATTTATATATGGGAGTGACAGGAATCAGGCAGTAGTTTATGAGCTAGTTTATTACAAGCTTTGGTGTGTCAGGAGACAATTTGTGTGGATTATGTGAGTTCTAGGTAAGCAATTAGATAAGCCACAACACATGGAAAAATTTCCAAGTGAGCTAGACATCATGCATATCGTTTTGTAATAAACCGGGAAAAATCACTGGGGAAGCATAGACCCGGTGAGGTGAGATGCAGACTTGTACGAACCGTCTTCTCAGATGGGAGGGAGTGGATAATCATCTGAAGCGTAGAACGCAAAACTAAGGTGCTCTGACTATTGCAAAAACATTGTTGATGTACTCAGATCAAGCAAGGGAATAGTTTTAGTATTTAACTGATGTTCCTCCTGTAATGAGATTTAAAAGCAAGTTCCTTTTTGAACGCAGTTGATTCAGAAGGGGAGAAGAAAAACGACCACGTTTCACGTAGGGTCTTTTCTATGGACAGCAAACCTCTAAAAAGAAGCTAAGATAGTTAGGTAACGGAAGACAGAAAAAAGACATGTCAGGGGCAGACGAATACGGAAAAATCTGTCAGAGCAACCATGTCCCAGAGTCTCATAAGATTTTTAGGGCGAGGTGTTCGTCTTTGAATCCAGATAAAGTCAATAACGCAGGTTTATGTCTGCATATCTTTTTCGAGTACTGGTGTGTAGGACCTCATATATAAACTCAATTCTATTCAAGTGCTTCAGACGTCTTTTGTCTGATAAAATTATGCAACAAATCCGAAATATATTTCATTTCCACATGATTTGATCCCATTATAAGAGGTCTTCCAATAACCTATGCATGGGATTTTCTGGTAAGGGAAAGGGAATATCAGCTGGAAATAGCTTACT